TTTTTAATTTAAGTGTTTTAATTGTTTTTATAGCTTACAATAAATTATTTACATATCTTATACTTAATTTTTAAATTAATAGGTTATAGTACCTTGCTAGAAATTAAGGCAGGACATGATATTCTTGAAGGCCTGATCTATAACTTGTATTAGTATAAAGTCATTTGGAATTGTTTTAGAATCTAGAGATTTAATTATTTGAAATTAATTAATTTCTATTTAATTGTTCCACTTATTGTAATTAAGTTTTTGAGTTGATATATGTGATTACCATGATAGTACCATTGACATATAATTATTTGGAGTCATTTGAAATTGATTTAAATTCTAGAGAAATTAATTAGTTAATTTAATTAATTTCTATTTAGTGTTACATTCATTTAAATTGACATTTGACTTGATATATGTAATGAATATGTTCTTTAACATATATTAAATTGAGAATATTTGAATGAGATTAGAAAACTTTATTTAATTATTTTCTTGTATAAAATTTAATTCACCTAGTTGTACCCAGTGTAAAATTAACTTGTAACTTGATTTTAAGTAATGTCTTGACATGTTCTTTAACTTATATTAAATTGAGAATATTTGAATGAATTTGGAAAACTTTATTTAATTATTTTCTTGTATGAAATTTAATTCACCTAATTGTACCTAGTGTAGAATTAACTTGTAACTTGATTTTAAATAATGTTATGCATGTTCTTTCACATATATTAAATTGAGAATATTTGAATAGGTTTTGAAACTTTTATTTAATTATTTTCTTGTATGAAGTTTAATTTGTCTAGTTGTAACTAAGGTATAATTAGCTTGTGACTTGATATTAAATGAGGCTTTGATATAACCCTTGACATATGTTATTTTTAAAACTTTTGGAGTTGCTATGCAATCTTGAAAAATTAATTAGTTAGTTTAATTAAATTTCATTTATATGCTTCAATTGAGGTAATTTGGCATTGATGTTGTTTTCTTACTTAATTTATAATTTGGAACTTGTAATATGATTACATGATAGTATTCCATGAGTTGAAATTATTATTTACCTTACTTGTATACACATTATATATTTGACATGTCGTATGCTATTGTAGCTTGAAGATATAGGACATATATTACGTGTTTTTACATGACTTGTTTGTGCATGGTAGTTGACTAAATGTATTGAGTATATGTAATACACCTTGATGCGCAACTTGTTGATTTTAGGAAGCTTGCGTGGACATTGGAATATATTACGGTTAGGGCATGGCTCTAGTACGGGGGATGAGAGCTCCCTTTACAACATATAGTGCGCACTGGGTGGTACCCTGAGGGCTAGTAACCCAAAAACACCAATGTCTCAATTTTATTCCGGATTTAGTGCGCACTAGGTAGCACCTTGAGCGTTAGTAACCCGAGATCACTTGCTTGGTCATTGAGACCACATGTCATTATCTTTCCACCACTTGTTGATTTCGCATATAAATTCTAAGTAGTTTACTTTGTGAATTTATACTTTATTACATTACATTTAGAAGTTCCAATGTTAGTTAAATTACATTTATATTGTAACTTGCGTTGAAATGTTTTAAAGTAACTTAAGATGATCCATGAGTCTCACTCTTGACATAGACGTTAGGTGGCATGAACCTTATGAATTATGTCACATTAATGTGATAAACTTGTAAAACGTTAGGTCTATGCATGCTCATTCCCTACGAGTAATACAAGTTACTCACCCTGCTAAATGCGACTTGTTTCAGGTACAGGAAATCATTATTTGAGATTCATGTTATGCCTTGGATGCTTTGTAGACTTAAAATATTTAATTCATGCAAATGTTAGCATAAAATGCTTTGTTTTTATTTTATATGTCAAAACATGATTATTTTGTTTCAAATATGTAATGTGCACATAAGTGCACCTTTTGATATGTATTTGACATGTATGTAATGAAGCTTGTATTCTAAGTACTTTTACTTTCAAGCTATATTATTAAAAAATGAAAAAATAGCATGCTTTAGTATCTTACATTTGCATGGAGTGTGGGAAATGTGCTAAGGCACATTCATAGGGTTCCTTTTTATATGCATGAAGTGTGGCAAAAGGCCAAACGGTCTTTTGAAATCATTTTATGATTTTAAGTTTCAATTTTTTTTTTTTAAAGTCCATTTTAGGCCAAATTGAGCTTGGATAGGTCGTATTTTGCATTGGCTGTATTTCGAGGTCGTAGACCATCCTAGCGCGTCTTAATACTTGTATTACGTTTGCGTACACGTTCACTTTGGCACACAACACCTCATTTCATGAAATGAGCATCATTTGGACTCATTTTTCATTTCTTTTGCAAAATCTGATCTAAGGGCATTTTGGGGCTTTTCCTTTGAAAAATAAATTCCGACCTTGACATGGTCATATAGAAAATGTGATTTTAAGGTGGGTTTCTTCTTTGAGTTTTTGCAAAAAAAAAAAATTGTTTTGATACTGAAAACAGCTCACAGATCTGGAAAATCTGGTGTGCGCTCTTTTTCAATTTTTTTTTGAAAAAAGTTCTGATGTAAGGACATTTCGGGTATTTCACTTGAAAAATAAAAACTTCTTTTGACATGGTCATGTAGAAAACATAATTTGGGGGGGGGGGTTTCTTCACAATTTTTTTTTTATAAAAATATCGTTTAAGCCCTCAAAATCCCATTTGAAATCCAAAAATCTGTACAAGCCCTTCACAGATTTGAAACCCGTAAAGTCTAATTTTATGAAACTTTGAAATTTCATATCTTCTTCGTCTGGATTCCAAATCAAGTGATTTTTAAGTCTAAGTTGATTAATTTTTCCTTGTGAATCCAATGGTATGCACAGTTGCGTCCAATTCTATCTGAAAAGACCATTTTACCCCTTATCAAGTACCCTTGCTGCATTGATTTGAAACCCAAAAGTCTAATTTTATGAAACTTTGGAGTTTCATACCTTCTTTATCCGGACTCCGAATGAAGTGATTCTTGAGTCTATATTTATTAATTTTTCCTTGTCTATCTAATGGTATGCTCAGTTGTATCCAGTTTTATTTGAAAAGACTATTTTACCCCTAGTCAAGTACCCTTCCCATTTTATAATCTTAGCTTCTGCATTTGATTCTTTTGAGTTCTGTGACTTCATGGAAGGTCATCTTGGCATCTTAAGAATGTCGTATATCCCTAGAGTTCTTGTTTCTATTTTTTGCTTCTGCATTCCAGATCTGTTTCGGGTTATCACGGATGCACTGTTTTGAAAAACTAGGGCGTCATAGGTAGCTTACAGTGCCTCGCACCCGCTTACAAGGTTATCACAATCACCCCACCTTTAGGGCCCAACATCCTCGTTGGCCACACTTCCGGTTGGTCAGGCTCTGATACCATTTGTAACAACCCACTCCACTACATGATATGATATTGTCCGCTTTGGGTATGAGCCCGAACGCATAGTTTTGTTCTTGGGCTTTACACCAAAAGGCCTCATACCAATTGAAAATAACACCACCACATATAAGCAGTTCATTTTCAGCTTTTGAGTAAGCTTTCTAATGATACCAGTCTCATCTTCAAATTACAATTACAAAAAGAGTTGTGACTTTTTTAGTGGGACTTACTTATAAAATCTTATATACCGAGGGTGGGAAATTGTGTTAACCACTAAAACCTTATGAAATGGATTTAATTGGTTAAAATGAGTAGAAATAATCCAATTCGACTCATTTAGAGTCAATTAATCCTTCATATCTGGTATGAAATAACTATTTTACTCCTAATATGCCCTCAGGTTCAGATAAGGATCCGAAACCGAATTACCGCCCATTAATGACTCGAATACCCAATTTAGGTCGTTATAGTTCCGCATAAGGCATATTGACATTTGACTTGATCATTACGAGGTTTGTTATCAGGGATCGAGGTATTTATATATAATTATTTATTTATGCATTATAGATATTTGAGAATAACAAAATTCAATTTATTGGGATTCATGTTTTATTTGTGATTAATGGTTTACACGAATAATTATAGTTTATACCATCAAGTTATTTTAGTTCCTTCCACTACCTTGAAAGATCAAATAGAATCAACAGTAGTAAGGAAACTAGACACTGATATGTTTGAATGTTACTTGGGGTACGTTCTAGTTTTACCCACAAGTAGCATTCAAATAATTTGATAATGAGAATGATTGCCATGCAATAGTAATAATTGTTTATGTTAGCAAATAATTTGATAATCCATGCCTAGGAAAGACGGGTTATATTACATCCTAGTTTAGAATAGTTAGATAGACAATTCGTGCCAACCGAAAATAGATTATACTTTTGAAGTGCTAATAAATTTATCTCATTGACCTAATCATTGCAAGCTTGTTGCCACGTGATTTATAACGTACATATAATGAAATTTCCCAAATTTAATATGTTTGACCTTTGTTACGAGGTTAGTGGTGAAATCAATTCCCTAAGCCCCGTTCTTTTGATCACTACTTTTATTTAATTTTAGTTTTAATTTCATTCCATTTAGCAATAGAAAAACAACACAAACTTCTTCTTTTTGAGTCAAATTATAATTATTCTCAAACTTAACAATCCACCACAGTTCTTGAGGTTCGACACATTCAACATAGCTTTATCCTACAAGGATTCGTTTTATTAAGAGTAGTTTTATCATTAAAAAACTCCACATTAATTTTTGACGCGGTTTACGTAACAGTTATTATTAGGTTAAAGATTCATGCCTAATATGTATCATTCCAAACCCCTTGGCTTCCTTTCTTTTCCTTTAGAAAACTATACCAAACACACTATTTTATTTATATCCGTTACCATTCTTTTCTCTTCCTTCATTTACCCTCCAATCAAATTGGGCCTTAAAATTTACCAAGGATCTTGTGAGGCAGTAATACATTTTTTACCTCCAAAGTGGGAATGTGTTTCTTGTAATTGAAAAAAAATAGAACTAGGGTTAAACCTTCATTTTCCCTCATTTTTCTTTCAGACTCGCTCAACAAATAGTGAGTACAACACGCTCTAGTCCTGATTTTCTTTCCTTTTCCTTCCAATTCCTAGAATCCAAACACAATAACCTAAAAATCTCCTCTCGAAAAGAGCGTTCTTTTCTCAAGTTCCCGACTAAAAGGGAAGCAAAGCTACGGTACACACCCTGTGCGCGGGTTAAATAATGGCGCCTCACGATCTCCGCCGTCCGTTCAAGCGTCCGGCGATCTCCGACCAACAGAAGCGCCGAGAGCTCTCTCTGCTCCGGCAGGAACAGAACCGCCGCGACGCTCAACACCAAGCGCGCTGTTTAGCATCGTCCATTGTCTCTCTCCACAACCACAACTCCGAACCTCTCTCCGAACCAGAAGCCTCCCCAGAGCTCGACCTAGTACCCGAAGCCGAAGCACCAGAATCTGAGTCCGAACCCCAAACTGGCGAAATTGATGTTCGTCAGGCGTCGAAGCTCAAGGGCGCCGAAGCTCGTCGGTGGTTCGCGAGACAACTCATGCTTCCGGAGTGGATGATCGACATTCCCGATCGCTTGAATCACGATTGGTTTGTTTTTCTTAACTATTTTTTCCGTTGACATTACATATATGTGTGTATTTTGTGTGTGTGTGTAAATATATATATATATATATATTTATGATTTAGGGTTGTGTTTGTTAGCGAGAGGAGGGTGTTTGATATAAGTAACCGTGATAGGGAATGGATTAGGTTTTGCACACATATTATATATTTTTTCACATACACAGCTACACATATATAGCAAGCGAATTGTATGTATTTATATTGCTTTTGTGTGTGTGTTGATGTTGTGATTTAGAGTTGGGTTTATTAGCAGAAGAAACTGAAGTTATGAGGTAGTGGCCCATTCTTATATTTGGGGTCTAATGGTGCTTCATAGAAGTAGGAATGGACTCCTCCTAGTGCCCAGCATAGCTCATCGGACAACCATATGCTTGCTTTTGCAGTTCAATCCAACTAAGAGTAACTAAAATTAGGAAAAATCAATTGTTTCTTTTGGTTTACGGTCCTATTGCAAACTTACTATGGCTGCTTGTTGATAAGTGCATATCAAGTCCTTTGCCACATTCAACGTGCTTTACTTATGACTGGTTTTATTGTTTAGATTAATAATATCTTATATGCTTGCAAAATCAGTTGATAATGGACTTTGCTAGAAAATCAGACACCATAATAAACATGGATGTATTTTTAGGCTTTTTTCCGAAGTAAAGCATGTGTTGCCTTATGAAAGGCATGCTGGATGGATATCTTTGAATGTGACATTTTTAATGTAAATGGTGAGAAATGTTTATGTACAACATTGGGGGGTTTTTGTAGGTATGTATTTGCAAGGCCTTCTGGGAAACGATGCTTTGTTGTTTCTTCTAATGGAACAACAATAAGTAGGCTAAGGAATGGTTCTCTCCTTCACCACTTTCCATCTGCTCTACCCGGTGGTGCCAGGATCAAAGACGTCTCTCGTTCTGCTCAATCATATTGTATACTTGACTGCATATTTCACGAGGTAACACTTACATCTCATTATTCAGATGTTGGAATTTGGTTGTAAGTTGTTATATTTGTTCATTTGTGATGTCTCTAATGTGGTTGTGATTTGTGAATCTGAGTTGCAGTTGGATCAAACTTACTACGTGATTGACATGATTTGCTGGGCGGGTTATTCTCTCCATGAATGCACAGCTGAATTCAGATTTTTTTGGTTGAACAGCAAGCTTGCCGAGACTGGGGCTTGTGACCCTCCCTCACTTTACCATAAATTTAAATTCAGTCCGATTACTGTTTACAACTGTGATCAGGCAGGGCTACACACAGCTTATTCAGAGGCAGTACCTTATGTCAAGGATGGGCTCTTGTTTTATAACAAGTAGAACTCTTTTTCCTCTATCATGAATTGTGTAGGAGTCTCCTAATTGCATTGATTAAAACAGTCTTAACGAATATACTCCTAGTCAGTTGCCATGAAATATGATTTTGCACTGTTGATTTTAACTTCTGAAACAATCCTAATATGTAGCCTTGAACCACTGCAGCGCGGTGGTCCCTGCAATATCTACAATGTGGTGCTTGAAATGCACTAAGCCGCTGACTGGTGTTGTCTTAAAAGGGGTACCTCTATGTTTTTCAAGGCCAGGCTTAGAACCTGCAGTTAGGCAAACAGGTGCATACCTTTTGGCTTTTAGTGTTGTGTACTATAGGATGTACTGTTACTAGCCAGTATTATCACAATTGGCTCGAATCCCCACATTCTCCAAATTGAAGCATGTCATGCTTTGGTTGTAGAACACTAAATTCGGCTACCTCAAATTTTTTTTCTTTCTTTTTTTATAAAATAAAAATAATTATGAACCAAAACCTAATGGAACATAAATGTTTGGGACAAAAAGCTAAACAACCACAGCACAGGAAAAACCCAAGCAAGAAGGAAATAAGTGGTATTGTGCCATTATATTCTTTAATTTGCATAAAAGACCCCAGTAAAAAAAATTTGGGTCTAAATGTAGTGTCACTTGTATAAATTATAATCATTTGAATGAAGAGAAAAAATCTGTCCATCAATGCCTTATACTTTAATTTCTAATTAGCAAACTATATCTGCTATGTAAACCTATCCTACCTACAAAGTATATCCAGTACTTTTACCACATTTATGCATTTTCTAGGCAAAGTTGAAGGTATCAATCAAATTTGTTAACAGTTTCAGGATGTCTAAAACAGGAATGATATTTATACACACACATATATACATGTGTAAGTATGTATATATAAATATCTTGCTAGTAGAACAATACAAATTAAGTAAGGCTTTTAAGAGAGTCCCCTTGTGATAAGAGTCATGAGAGATTAAGGCTACTTTTGAGATCTTTGGAAAAGGCAATTATCAAATCTCAATCCAATGGTTAATAAGGAGAACTTATAAATCTTGTCATGAGAGGACTCTCTTGATAACCTTACTCATATGAATTTTACACTTAAGGTATTTTAGACTCGCAACAACCTCTTTACGGTTCTTTGATGCCTATTTTTGGTGAACTTCTTCTTTATTAAGAGGCATTTGGAATCTATAGTAGCCCTTTGTTGCTTGGAAAAGAAAAAGATCTAAAACTGCAAACATTGTGCTTTAGCTAAGAGTTGTTCCATAAATTGGAAATAGAAAGGGTTGAAGTGGTCTTTGCAGATTAAGGAACTTCTGGTATTCATCATGCAGTGAATTTAGAGTTTCTTTCTCAATTGTTGTGATGAAATGACAGGACAGACATTTATGCTAACTTCTCTCTCTTTCTTCATTTTTTTTTTTAATTTTTTCCAGTTCTTTTCTTCTTTTTAATGTTAGTGCATCAGTTCTTACACTCATTTTACATTTGGTTAAAATCTTTACTTTAGGTCAATACTGTATTGCGTTGCTTGTAACTTCAGGAAGACTTTTGAGCCTATAGCTGTGTGTCACTACCTTTGATAGATTAGTGATTCCAATTTATAAGAGTCTTTTCACATGAACTGCTTGATATCTGCTCTCTGGTTTTGTCAGAAGTAAGCACCCGTGGCTATTTTTTTTTCTCTGTGGGGCATTAAGCTGCATTTGCTGCCTGAACTTGTTCATCCCTAGCCGTGACTCACATTTGTGACCCAAGGACTCCTGCTTTCAGCCGTTTAAATGAAATTCAAGAACTTAGCAAGTGGTTTTGAAGTTAGCGGTATTATTGTATACTTTTCTAGTTTATAGATTAGCTGATATGACTGGTCAATTAAAATTTCAATAAACTAGAGAAATTAAGAGGTAATCTGGTGCATGAGAACATATATGTTGAGACATTCTTTTTTGAGGTGTGATATAGTGTTTAACAGATATTAAATGTTCAGTACAATGTCGCTCATGAACAAACTTCTTGAAGAACTTAAATAAGACCATTGCTAAAAATAAATAAAAAATGCTTGATAGAACTTATTTCAGGCCTCTATATTAAATCAACCCGACACCTATTTTTGACTGTCGAGACAACTCACTCACTTAATAGAAAGCCATAGTTGACTTCTATTGCATGTAAAAGAGTAAATTTAGGAGGGATGTTCCTCACATTTATTAGAAAGCAACAAAGTCAGCAGCTTCCAAACATTGGCAACATCTGTCTATTCTTGGCACTTAATGGTTTTGTTGTTCATTGATGTTATTTATTTTAAACTTTTAGCTGGTATTTTAGAACATACAATATTAGTATCTCATGTTGTATTCTGTGAGCTCTAACTTATTAGTTCCATCTTTCATTAGATTAATTTTCATCCTAATCCTGTTTGCACTGCTTCTTCCTCAGGCATGCACATTATCAAACAGGTAATACGCCATTGGCTTTAGTTTGGAAGGACGAGAATTGTAGTCAATATGTTATTGATACAGATAGTAAAGGACAGATTCCAACCCACCAACAGGTACATTTAACTTTGTTGATACCTAGTATCCATCTGACTAAGTTGTTTCAAATTAACTAGGCACTCCATGTTGTGAACAATTTTTATTGATTTATAATCACTTGAAATTAGGGAGCTTGCATGTGGATTTTTTTTTTTCCCTTTCAAATGTATACATACATATGACTAAGTTGTTCAGATTAATTGGGTGCTCACTATTGAGAACAATTTTTATTGCTTTGTAATCACTTTAAATTGTGGAGCTTGCATATGGATCGTTTTTCCAAGTTGAAGACATGAAAGATGCAAATAGAACAATGAACTGGGACCACATTTTTATTTGGATTTGGGTCATGTTATTCTAGTTGTTGTGTCCCTTGGCACTACACCCTGTATAAAGAAAGGAACTACGCCCTATACTGGGAAAGGAAGTTTTGTCTTGGAGTCTTAATGGTAAATGTTTCTTCTGGGCAACTTTAGCATCTGAAATTTTAATACCAGTAACGCATTATCATAGGTCAAGTTTTGTAGTCAATTTAAGCCATCTACTGATTCCACCGGATCTGGAGAGAGTAAAAAGCTACATATTCAATATTAAGAGCTTGATCGAGTTGAATAATTAGAATTAACAGCCTCATGTGTTGGGAGAGTGAATACTGTTCTGGATTGGACTGTATTGGCTCTGCAGGGATTCATTAAATTTTAGCATCTTTATTTCATCTGTTAGTTGCATAATCTCTCCAAACTTGTTTAATTATTTCATTTAACAGGGGGTTTGAGACTTCAAGTAATACTGGGTATTTGCTTTGTGTAGTAGTTTCTTCTGTGGGAATAGTGGCCCGAGGATCTATTTCTTTTGTGCTGTTTAATCGTGTTTAGCTGCTACTTTAATTGCTACTCTCTTGATGAAATATTTTTGTAGTTTAGATAAGGTTTTTTACCTGCAGTTCTTTGTAAATGGTTTTTCACAAAAAATCATTTTTATATTGATCATTAATACATCTCTAGAGGTCATTTTACTATAAAGTTGAAGCAGTGTATGCCAAATATATGTAATCACTTTTATTTGTTGATGACCTGCATGACTCAGATACGAACACATTTATTTGCATTTACAGCGAGAATTAGCTTTATATTGTAATTAGCTGATCTGTTTTTTTTGGGTTTCTTTTTGTTTGGACAATTAGGTGGTTTTGGAGCTACAAGATGATGGGAAAGTGACTACATCAGATGATCCTCCTGTTGTATTTGGCTGCTTGGATGGGGACTTCTTACAAAAGGTTTGATCATTGGAAAATATGAACAAATTCATATAATTTATCAAGTGAATTGCTAAGTGATCATTGCTTATTAAAGTTTTTGTCTGCCTTTTGAAAGTGTTTGTGGCATTGTACGTTCAAAATCCTATGTATTCGTATATTAGGGATCACCTTCACCTTGCACTAGTTAGTGGCCAAGTCCCAAGTGTCTATTTATGTAATTAGTCAATTGTTTGAAACGTGGCATGTGACCATCACCATACTTGTTGATGCAAGATTTTGCTTCGACCCAGTGGACGTCGTACTTGGAAGAGAAAGAGAAAAGGTGATCGGGAAGGCACCGATGTGGTACCGGCCTAAAAGCCTCCGATGATCAAGTCAATGCTAGATCGTAAGGGTGGTAGGAAGGAGAGAGGTATTGCTTAGGGATTTGTATCGTACCTGTTTGGTTGACCCGGACCTCTCTTTATAGAGGTACTAAGTTGCATTCAAGTAGGAAAGTTATTGTTTTTTCTTCCTCAACACGGATGGGGAAACCTCACCTTATCTTTTTATCCTTCAGTCAATGGAACTTATCCAACTTTATAACCTTCGTATGACGGTCAAACTTCCTGGGTGAAGACTCCTTATCAGTTTCCCCCCTATTCTTGTGTTTGCATTTCAAATTTAGAGAATGTAAATATTGTATGTCTTGAATTCTTCTTTACCTTGAGTCAACAAATACTATGAAGAAATATTAAATAATGATGTGCCTTGTTAATTTATAAATTAGTTCAAACAGTAGAGATAGTGTATGTATATATTATGTGCTGAACATAGAAACATGGACTCATGTGGCCCATCTGATTGGAGCATCTCACTAGTGTGCCATGGGTTCAAACCCTCCCTCTAGCACCAAAATTATTTATTAAAGGAAGAAGCATACGGTAGGAGGCCGCCACGTGGTAAGGTAGCACGCTGCCACGTGGGTCTTAGAAGACGTTGACACGTGGAGACTTGAGAACGACGTGGTAACTTGAGAAGATGCCGCCATGTGGCGAGGCGGCACGTTACGACGTGGCAGGTCTTCACTAACTCCGTTGAGGCATGGGTGTTGGCAGTATGTTCCAAGCATGGTTCGCGGTATAACGGACTCGGACAAAGTTAATGTAAACTTGCCGATACAAGTCGCGTATCGGAGTTGAAAAAGTATGTCGCGTATCGGACGATACGGCGAACTATGGTTCCAAGTGATACTGATATATATAAAAGTAAAGTTGAGAAGGAAATTGACAGATAACGCTGCTGTACTGCAAAATCAAAGCAAGAGATGGCTATTAGGAAATAGGAGGTTCCTAATAAGAGATATCTGTACTGCTAAACTGAGATTCCTAATAAGAGATATTTGTACTACTAAACTGAGATAAGCAACTGATATCATAGATACCCTAGTCTCCTCTAGGAAGTACACAACATATTTTGCTTTCAAATTCAAATTTGAAAGAGTTTTCAAATTATACCGCCCCTTCATGCCTATTTAAAGCCATCTTAAGGGAAGGAGTTGCATCCCTCTCGATTTATCAAGCTTTGGAGGTAAATTTTTTCTCCCTACTTGTTATTTCCTTTCAGCAGTTCTCATACTTTAGTTCTTGCTTCTTCCGCCATGAACAACTTACATACGGTATTGGAAGACAGCGTCCAGTATCCCATTTCAGAATCTGATTTGAGAAATTTCCATTCCTCGTACTACATTCCTAGATGTATTTCTATCTGTCCTCCTCTTCCCTACGAAAGGGCTTTGAAGGCTCCAAATGGTGAACCCTGCCTTTTTGAGTGCGCCTTTCTCGCTGGGTTATGCCTCCCCTTCCCCCTAGGGAATTTTTGACCTTCCTCCATATTACTCTCGGGCAACTCTAGGGAATGCCTAATAGGGTGTCTTGTATTATGGAAGGGTGGTGGCAACACTCCAGTAACCATAAACGAGATCTTATACTGTTTCCTTCCGAAGAGAGTAGATCGATGGTGGAACCTGACTAACCAGTGTGAGTGTCCCCTAATTAAGGGACTTACCAAGTCCAATTCGGAGTGGAGAAGCCGCTTCTTCTTTGGAAGGTAACAATATAAGATCTCATTTATGGTTACTGGAGGGTTGCCACGAGCCTTCCATAATACAAGACACCCTATTAAAGTTTTCCAGGCATTCGCGGTGAGTTGCCCAGGAGTAATATTGAGGAAGGTGAAAAATTCCCTACCAAAAGCGGGGGAAGGGAAGGGAAGGCGTACATGAATAGAAAATTTCTCAAATTGGATTCTGAAATGGAAGACTGGACGTTGTCTTCCGGTACTGTATGTACGTTCTTCATGACAGAAGAAGCAAGAACTAAAGTAGGGAATTTTTGACCTTCCTCCATATTACTCTCGGGCAACTCTAGGGGAATGCCTAGAAAACTTTAATAGGGTGTCTTGTATTATGGAAGGGTCGTGGCAACCCTCCAGTAACCATAAACGAGATCTTATACTGTTTCCTTCCGAAGAGAGTAGACCGATGGTGGAACCTGACTAACCGGTGTGAGTGTTCCCTAATTAAGGGACTTACCAAGTCCAATTCGGAGTGGAGAAGCCGCTTCTTCTTTGGAAGGTAACAATATAAGATCTCGTTTATGGTTACTGGAGGGTTGCCACGAGCCTTCCATAATACAAGACACCCTATTAAAGTTTTCCATGCATTCGCGGTGAGTTGCCCGGGAGTAATATTGAGGAAGGTGAAAAATTCCCTACCAAAAGCAGGGGAAGGGAAGGGAGGGCGTACATGAATTGAAATTTTTTCAAATTGGATTCTGAAATGGAAGACTGGACGTTGTCTTCCGGTATTGTATGTACGTGGTTCATGACGGAAGAAGCAAGAACTAAAGTATGAGAGCTGCTGAAAAGAAATAACAAGTAGGGAGAATAAATTTACCTCCAAAAGCTTGAGAAATCGAGAGGGATGCAACTCCTTCCCTTCAGATGGCCCTTAAATAGGCATGAAGGAGCGGTATAATTTGAAAGCACAATATGTTGTGTACTTCCTAGCATCCGCTAGGATATCTTTGATATCAATTGCGTATCTCAGTTTAGTAGTACAGATATCTCTTATTGGGATTCTGCTATTTCCTAATAGTTATCTCTTGTTTTGATTTTGCAGTACAGATGTCTCTTATTGGGACTCTGAGCATCTCCTTCATCAGTTTCCTTTACCTGTCAGCTTTTGCATATATCAGCTTTACCTGTCAGTTTCCTTTTCAACTGTACTTTTATATATGTCAGTATCACTTGAAACATCCTGCCAACGCCTATGCCTCAACAGAGTTAGTGAAGACCCTGCCACGTGGCAGCATGCCGCTTTGCCATGCTGACAATTTCATTGCTACTTATGCAATCAGTCAAATTGGTTAGGATGACCAATTTGATTGCTCTTTTACGTGGAAAGGAAGGTGGCCTGGATCACTACATCAATTTATCTCTTTTTTTTTTTTTTTTTTTTTTTTTTTCTTTTTCCGGTTGGTAAGCAACACAAGTGCACAGCCCACACTGCCCATGTTGGGCTAGAACTGCTCACCTCTCCTTTGTAGTACCACCTGAACCAGTGGCCGGGTAATATAATGTCTTTCAATACTGTGAAGACATCATATTGGGGTAAAGCTGTAAATTCAGTAGTTTTCAGACTTCATTTTTTTTAATTAGCAAACATTCTAAAGTAATTATGCACTTAAAATCTCCGATACTTTAATTTTCAGTTTTCTCAACCACTACCTCAGCGTGGATCTTGATCAGCACGTGAGAAGTGGTGGTAGTAGGTACATGGCTTAGTATTGACTTGGCTTAAATAAGGCATGATAACATTTCTTTTATTTTCAAGGAGTACTTCAATTTATTTTGATTAAATTATTAGCTTTCCATTCAATACATGTTCAAATCATAGATGTGAACAAGTCCTGTTGTTGGCAATCCTTCATGAGATACAAAGAGGTTAGATGAGTGGGTTAGGCATATGTATTGTGTACTATTTAGGTGGTGTTGTCATGGAGTGAAGCTTTTGCGTTCTGAAGTAATTGCACAAACATTTCCTACCTTAAGTAATGTAAATGCAAGAACCACATCTATATTTGCAATCTCTTTCTCGTTGATCATATTTCTTATAGCATCATTCCTTTTTGTGGCATAATAATTTGACTGATGAATATGTGTGACGTAAATTGTTTTTATTTTCAGTCGGGACTGCATTCTGGAAATCTTCTACGTTTCGTTTTTAGTGATGGAGGATTAAGTTTTGTGGATGGGAAGCTTGAGAAGGCTGAGATGCATTACCTCGGCAAGTCCAACCGCGCACGTGCTTTTGCAGATAGTTACTCAAAGGTTAGTAGATAAAAACCTGTTCCCATTTCGAGTCTAAAGATAGATAAATAGACACATTCCATTGCACTGGCGTCCGTAGTGACTGAGGGAATGTGGATTCTAGATTTTGATATGGGTTCTGATTCTCACTGATTGCAGTTTACACTAATCTGGTCAAAGTAGGCACTATTTGTCCCACAAAATGTGTTAAATGACGCTAAAACATGATGGATAATGTTTCTGTAGTATTCTTTTATAAGTTTAATATAATTGGTGGTTTGGAATTGTGGTTGATCACCATCCTCCTATATGGTTGTTTATGAATTCAAGGGAAGGTCATGCTGTGGTAACTTGGTCCATATCTCTCGGCCTTGTTGCACAAAATAATGCTTTAACATCAACTAGGGCAAATTTTATCTGAATGCGCAGTCACCTTATATAAACCCACAAATGGTATGTGATTACTCAGTTAACTTTTACATATTAATTATTTAAAAAGGCCAATTACACAATTGTCGTTGCTTATACGGGGTGCTGGAAGGGAAAGACTGTAGGCAAACCTAATCTTTGTTATTGGCTTGTTACAAAATGGCGGTTTCTATATCAATCCGTGCCCCCTTGCTTGTCAGTTTGAACTTTTATCGTTGCACTAAGTATTCACATATGACAGGCCATCATGTCCCACCTTTGCTGTGAGTTGGGAAGGAAGGCTACCGGAGACAGATCTAACTCCCTCCGCGCCACATAAATAAGAAACGGCATTATTTTTCTACTTTAAGACTTGGATCAAAATCCTCTCCTGCGCAACAGTAAACCGGTCCCCTCCAGTTAGTGATACATGATAGGAAAATGTTGAGATGCAAACCTAACATCACAACATTTTACTATCTTGCATCACTAACTTGAGGAGACCGGTTTACTATTGCACAGTAGAGGATTTTAGTCCTTAAAGACTCGGGCTTGCTTCTGACATTCCAAAATCCATTTAATATTGTATTGTGTAATATAACCTCCTGTGAGGTGGCATGTGGATTGTGGCTGGTAGTATGCTTAAAAGTAATTGTAGGTGCTTAGGTGCCATTTAGTGAGTATCAGTTCCTGTGCTGCTTACAACTGCCGTCTAACATGCCTTCCACTTCTATATTTTTCCTTTAAAAGAAAAAAGAAAAAGAAGAAGATATATTTTGTATAAAGGCTTGCCAAGATATAATCTTTGCTTGGAATTTATGCTCTCAGGTTATGTTCCAGTACACAGCTCGGCATTCTCCTTTACGAATAGATGATCTGCTCATGTCCATTAACTCATCAAGTGAACAAGACAATGGAACTCTTGATGTCGAGATGATTGGTTGATGAAGCTGTAACTGACAACGATAGGAAGCTTTATTCTCTGTAGTGCCCTCAGGGGCATATAATATTGCCCTTCAAAGGATCTGTGTAATTCTTACTTTTCCTGAAGGCTGATGAAGCTGAAGGCTGATGAAGAGAGTGCGCGAAGAACTCCGGAAGAGTTCAAACTGCAGGTGGTTTTGGTGCATGAAATGACTGTTCGATGTCAGTCTTGAGTTTTGGTATGAATTCATCCGTTGGTCATGTGAGGAGGATTCTGTCATGCTGAAAATTACTTTTCCTGCTTATTATCCTTGTATGAAAACAGAGATATATATATAATATTATATTATATCCACATGCGATCATTTCTACATAATACATATCAAGAAGAACTACTTTTCTTTGTTACATAGGTGTGTAGATAATATGTTGTTGTATTGCACTATTGCAGCACCTTTCAACAACTTATTAACCTTTATAAATGTGTCCAATAAGAGGAAAGCAATATGAGGATTATAACAGGTTATCACACATTATTTGCTCGTGGCTGAGCTAGACTTTAGCTGTGAATGCATCTATGCATTTTTCTCGTGCAATTGGAAGTAGGTTGGGAATCTTTAAGCCTCATCGTGAGGCTTAAAAGACTAAATTTGTTATATATATATATATATATATCAAGATCAAAATGAGCCGGTCAATAATTTTGTTCACGAACGAGTTTATAAACAAACAAACGATCCGAACATGGAAAATTTGTTTGAGCTTGGTTAACTTATTAATCAAATGAACAGGAAACGAGCTCGATTTGTTCGTCGAACGTTTGGTTCATTTACAGTCTTAATAAATAGGGTGGGATTGTGACGATGGAACACTAACGGTGATTGTGATTAGTTTACATCTGACGAGATGCTATATGAATAATGATTTCAATGACAAGGTAGTAATTTCACAGCATTTGTTTTGAGAGAGACGCATTCCCTTCTCTATCCGGTCCCCTCATTGATATCATTGCATAACAGTGATAGAGGGAGACACGTTCCCCTCCCTATCCATTCCCCTGCCCCTTTCATTCCAACCAAAGGGAGCTTCAGAGATGATTGAGATCAATGCATGAGTGATAGAAGATGAACAATTTGTTCTATTTTAATAAAATGCCTCTTTTATGAAGAAAAGGAAATATTGGACAAGTAGAAGAAATAGGGATGGAGAAGGTTGGTACGACCGAGCGTGTGCACAAAATAATGCACAACACTTTAGGTTTAGAAATAATGTCAAGTGGGCATCATATTTTAAAATTTATAAAACCACTAAACACTTATACTATGGAGTATGAAGTGAGCATGGATCGTCCCAAGAGATCTAAACAATTATAGGTTTTCCAGAATTGAATTCTACTTTAGTGCTTATGTGATTGCCAAAAGGGTTTTGTTTGTGATTAAAATTAATTTTAAACTAAATGATTGCAATAAAGAAATAGAGTTTAAGAGATTGGAAAGAGACTTAGGGTGTAGGATTCATCACTAAGCACATTCCCTAACTTACTCACTTTCAACTAATTGGGGAAATAATACTATGTAATCTATATGTGGCTAACAAGTGCAATGAAAAGTGTAAACCATCAATTTCAAGCATGAATCAACAACCTAATGACAATTAAACTAAGTGTAGTGCAATTCACCCATTCAAAGTATGATTTATCAATCCAAGTTACAAATTTAACACACATTAATCTAGAAGATAATGCAATTGTGACAAAAAGTATGGAATTCAAACATAAGTATGGATGGTCTACTTACCTAATAATTGAATTGCAATTAAATTAATTAAACTTAAATTAAACTAATTAAACATTAATTTAAAACTAATTAGACAACAAATTAACCTAAACATGTAGTACCATCTATCAAATGGAAGCATTTTTCATCAATTTGAAACACAATTACAACTAAGCAATACCATGCATAGCCATCACAAGAATCAATTAACAAAGAATTCATGTGTAAAATTTGTTTATCAATCAACCACACATAAGACAATATGAGATTAATACAGATAATCAATTGGAAGAATTTAATTCATAATATTCAAGACTATACACTACTTACATAAATTAATCCCCAAAAAGTATGAAAAGAGAGAAAGAATAGGTTACATGCTTAGGGTTTATCCAACCCTAAGTAGAAGAATCAGCCACTCATGATTGATGGAGTCGAAGACAGGACAATCCCCATCATCTTCTCTGAACTTTTCTTCCAAACCCTAACCTGTTCTTGCTTTTTCCCTTTCTTCGCGTGTTTTTCCAGAGAGAAAATACGATACTACGATACAGAAAAAAAAATAAAATAAAACTCTTTTTTTTTTTTTCTCTAATAATCTTTACCTAAATAAAAACTAAAACTAACTCTAATCTAATGGTTCACTGGGCCTTAAGTAACAATCTCATTAAAGCCCAACAGTTCCCAAAATGAGCCCAAAAATTAAATAAAAACTGTAATGTTGCTAAGTCCTATTTCCTTTAAGCCCTATTTAGCTCCATTTTAGCCCCGAACTCATTAGTTTGCTTCTTCATCTTTGGGAACATCATCAAAAGCCTGAGATTAACCGCTTTTGAAGAATAAACACACTATACGAGCAATGGGCTGCGACCTCCTTTTTGCCATTTTCTGAGCTTTTTCTGAATATCTTTGCTTGACTCTAAAAAGACTTTAATGGACCGTTCTTAGCTCAGTTTAACTTTATTGCCCTGAAATACACATAAACATAAATTAGGACTAAAACATGAAATTAAGATAGCTACAACGACTGAAATACCCTAACTTAGGTGCTAAAATGTGCAACATTTAAGCACTTATCAAAGGTCCCAAACAAAGTGAAAAAGAAAACAACCAAAAAAAAATAAAAAATTAGATGACTATCCCATCCATATGGAAAAATGGTGCAAGGGAGACACGGGGGAATGGATGAAGCATCCTAGAGAAGGGTAGGTGTCTCCCTCACTTTTGTTTGGTTGGACAGAAAGAATAGTGAAAATGATTGATGGGATAAAACCATTATTTTGTTTGGTTTGAGGAAGAGAAGGAGAGTTTATATATGTATATTACCAATATACTATCATTATTTAATATTATTAAAAAAAAATAATTGTTTTATTTGGAAAGGTCAAACTTGGTATTTTATACATTTTAGGTATTTATTCACTATTTCCCTCCTCTCTTTACGATAAGAACGGATAAGAAAACTAAGGAGCTTTCTTCGTCTCTTCTTACATCCTCCCTCTCTTCCCTTCCAACCAAACATGGGAAGGCTCACCTATCCCTCCTCTCTTCCATCTTCCATCCTTCCTCCAACCAAACATAGCATAAAAAAGAATTAAAAAAAAAAAAACAAAAAACATAACGGGTAAGAAAACAACAATAGGCAATATATTAGAATTTATGACCTTATATTATTTTGACTACATCCCATACATATGGGATTAAGGCAACTTAGGCAAGGATGATGAAGATATTATTATTTTGACTATAGTTTATAGCACAATTGCATCGTGGAAAGCCACTTTAATCAATAAAAAATAACACTAATGGTCTCCCCAGAAAAATTACAAAAACAAACTAGTTCAGGATGCTAAAGTGGTTGCTTCACAACCATCATGTACACAGGCTAAGACATCTCTGTAGTCCCTTGAGATAGTGAAGGTATCATAGACTTTTCCATTGCTGCTCTTCATGTACTCGAAGAGAAGAGGAGTGGTTAAATGCTGTCAACCTGACAAATCCGTAGTCATAATCTTTGTAAAGACTCCAACTGGTATTTACTTGGCTGAACTCTGATAAGTGGCTTCCTCCTCCACCAACAACAACGTGGATTGTCCCATACACAGTGCCCGAGTAGTGTGATGTTTCTGAATTCACACACTGATTCTGCGCAAAGTAGATCAGATAGATGGCAAATAAGTGACCATTTACTTGAAAGTTGAAACTCACTATGGCAAACTAATTATATTGTGATTGATATTCGTTTAAACTATAATTTTATTTCGCGCATCAACTATATGTTTTCTCTGCCTCTAGCAGTAAATAACTCTTGTACATGAACATGGAGTTCATATCCTCGGCAGTTTTCTGGTTTTAAGTTAGTTACCATTCTGAAGCATGTGAGGAGCACAGAATTAGAGTATGCTCGCCGTTCCTTTTTCTTTTTCCCCTCCAAAGAATTAGTTACTTGCTAGAAAAGGAATACTGATTTTCTTTGCCAAAGTAAAAATATAAAAAGAATACCGATGATTCTATGGGACTTTCACAAGAGTTTGTAAATAGGTGGGTTAGAGACAGATGTGTCAGAACTGAAGTTTTTGCCCCAGCCATTTTCAGCGTTTTATGTACTTTATTCTCTTTAAATTTTCTACGGTTAGTGTTTTTGACAACCATAAAAAATGTTGTTTGGCTGCTGGGTTCTGGATCAAAAAATCCACATTATCTTTGTTCCTACTATAAAGGGCCTTATAGCATGCAAGAGTCTGGAAGTTCAACCGATATTAAGATAGTTCATGGTGCTCCAAGAAAATAGTGTACTAAGTTTTATCTAATAGGGGGGTAGGGGGTAGAGGGTTTTTGTACCTGGTAAATAGGACAAGACCTTTCGTAGTTATGGACGTGACCATAAAATGCCATGTCCACCTTGTATTTCCGCCAGAGTCTCTGTAAGCTTTCCCTTCCCATGGGCTCTTCAAATGAGCCCTCCAGTCCATACCATTTATCAGAAGAATACCCAAGGACCCGATGAGCAGAAAAAATCAACCAAGGCTGTTTCTGCCTGTCTGCTGATGCAAGGCAATTCTCAATAAAGCTGTACTGTTCAGAACCCTCCCTCCAATCGTGCTCAGTATCAGCTATGCAGAAGCGAAACATGCCACAATCTGTTGAGTACCTGTGGATAACATATATACATAATTTAGACAACATTTTTGACATGGACTATTTTATTTAAATTACAGTTTATTTTAGACAAAATATTACAGTAACATAATTTTTTTAGTGGAATAGATTATGGAACTTTGGTGATGCTATATTGGTTTTTCAAGTAAGTCTAATCTTTCCTCGAGGAAAAATCGGAATGGGGAGATTTCTCAAATTTATCTTTATATTGTCACTAAGTTGGGGACCTGTAATTGTGATGTGGATTTACACTTGTGTACAATATGGCAAGCTTTAATGAACTCAAAGTCCCAATCCAGATATTCTAGGGATACTAAACTTGAGTCAACTAAGCCTTATTCCAACTAGGTAGACCAGGCCCTAGAGTGCTACCCAGGTGAACATTACTGCATTCAGAGAGCTTATTGGATCAATTGTCTTGCATCACATGCATTCAGAATTAATTCGGTTTTTGGTATACATGTTGCTTTAAGCAAGGCTTCATAGGACAATGTATGGCTTTTGCAAAAGCATAGAATAATAGAATGAGAAAAAGTATGGAAGGGAGAAGAGCCCCATTCGAGGGGGCGGAAGTCCCCTGTAGGTTCAATTTGAGAAGAACCAGACCTCCCAAAGAGCAAAATTGCTATTACTCAATGCTTCCTTTTGTGAAAAGCAACACGGCATCCGCATATATAAACATATAACAGCTGAAATAACATCCCAAAACTGCTAATAACTACCTAATCTCCTAATAAAGTAACACCTTTTAACCTAATTAAATAATGAATATTTCCTAAATAAAAAAGGAGTAATACTAAAATACACACACAACATTCATGTCCTTCTAGAATGACCTAGTCAAGATCAACAGAAGAAAAAAAAAAATACTAATCCACCAGATTCCAAAGTTGGATAGGCACGGTGTATCAACCAAATCATCACCAGGCTAGTTTTGTAGCGTCTTTGGCTTCAAAGTTTAGCTGTTGACATTTTACAACCATCAATTCCAGAACAATTCGGAACCAATAATGGAATAAAGTAGGACTTCTTAAACTAATGAAAACAGTGAAAGGATAGAGGCAATTAGCATGATCAGATAGCTGTGGTGTCATGAGAATCCCGTCTTCCACAAGGATACAAGACATCGAAGGATTACCGTTTCATAGAGATAAAGAAGATAAGCAGAAAGATTGTTTTTCCTATGGAAGTTCAACAAAACAACCTGCCCATAGTTTTCCCACAGCATTTGGTTAAAGGAAATAAATTATTCTTTTTTTGTTTATCAGGATTAAAGGTAATATCGCTAAAGGTAGAATACAATTATCAATCTTGCTTAAGCTATGGAGAAGTGTTAAAACCAAAGAAAATTGTCCAAATGATAATCTAGTCTAATTACAGAAATCAACTTCCAATAAGAAAAGGAGGAGTTAATTGGAAGTTTTTTGAGCCCTTTTCTTAGTCTTGCCTAGTTTTAGATTCTATATGTTTTGCCCTACCTTTACTTACTCTACTTGTACAATTACTTCAAAATCTTTACAGGAACTGACTGCATTGCTGGCAAAAAACTTAATGCTTTCTCTCTCCAAAAATTGTAACATCAAAGAATCATTTCATAACTAATATAATTACCAGAACTTAGCTCTGTTCTCCGCAGGAACATAGAACATGGTCTCAGCTAGCACACCACATTCCCCACCTGAATCCATTGTCATAGAAGTATCCTGTCCCAGGCCAACATGATTGCCACTGTAGTTAAAAGTAAAACAAAGAGATCATACAACCTCATGAGATATAACATTTATAAAAAAATTAGAATAAATTGTTAACTAGTAACTAACTAACCTTGCGATCATATATGGTACAGTTGAAGCAATGGGCTCCACCTGTGATGTGAATTGGTCCCACTGCTAGATTTATCCATTTTATTGCATCATGCTTCTGTCCATTTTATAATATAGCTGGGCTATATGTAATGGACCTAGCAATTCTTACAACACCCTGAAAGTTCTTAGCTATTTCAATAGACAAATTAAGTACATAGATAGAGCAACACAAATTAGCATTACCTAGGAGGCCAGGGACCATACGCTTGTCTAGCTAAAACCTTAGCTAACACAGAACAGAACAGACTTATCAAAGTACAAGCACAACACATGATTTCATAAGAAACTAGAATTATTGAAAGTAAACAACAAAGAAATGCGAAGGAAAAGAGAAATGTGAAATAAAAAATAATCTTTGTATTTAATCCAGATGCTTGAATTAATGGGTGAATATGGTTGCGTTGTGCTAGGAGCTGCTAGTTTTTGGTATTGACCGCAGAAGCTCTTTCCTAATTTTGTTATATATATATATATTGTTTCAGATGCTTCTTTCAAGCTAGTGAGTGCCTTATTCATATCAAGGTTTATTCAGATGTCAGAGACAGGATTTGTAATGGCATAATAAAAAGCATGTGAAAGGGAAGCATTTCTAATTTCTTTCTGAAAGTTCATATAGCCGACCAAATACACCCAAAAGTAACCCGTGACACAACGATTAGGGTAGGGGTATTGGATAAACAGTAAAATCGAACAAAAAAACACATGAATTTAAATGATGTTGATATTTCGGGGAGTAACAAAGTACAGTAGAATACCTGCTCAAGAATTAAATTCTGTAATTGAACCCTACGCTATGAACCAGATATCGTTGATACTAACCTTGCTGAAGACGTATCATTGTCGAAGATCGGTTTCGTTCGGCTCTGTCGCGATAAAATGAACAGTTCTTAGCTAAGCTAAGGGGTTCGCATTATAGCAAGTTCCATCGCCTTCCAAACTCAAACTCAAGAATTAAATCCCCTAATAAAAACCCCTTTACAAAAAACCCCTTGTTCATTTTATCGCGACAGAGCCATCGCCAATAGCAAACGAGAGCGATCTTGGACAAGGTTGATACGTCTTCAGCAAGGTTAGTATCAACGATGTCTGGTTCATAGCTTAGGCTCAGTTTGGTAGGGTGAAAATGGGAGGAAAGGGAAGGGAAGGTGATGGAGGGTGATTAAAAAATTGTGTTTGGGGAAAATTGGTGGAAGGAAAGGAAAGGAGAGGGAAGGGTTTGGAGGGTTAACACAAAGCTTCTACAGTAGATTTCTTAACCCAAAAATGGGCGAAAACGGAAGGAAAGGGAAGGAGAGGCTTGGTGAGTGATTTCTTATGCCAAATTTGCCTTTGATTACACACAAAACCCATACGTACAAGTTAGCAGTTGCAGAGAGAGAGGGGGGCAAGCTTGAAAGATCGATATGGCTGAAATTGGGTTTTGATTTTTTGAACAATCTGAAATGATGCGATATGGTTTTTGTAGTTTTGATTCTTGCAGACAAATATATAAACTGAAATATATGGGTTTTGTACTTCTGATCCTTGTATTTGCAGTTGGAGAGAGAGAGAAGAGAGAGAGAGGGGGGGCAAGTTCAGAGTTGAGGACGAGATAATAGAGATGGAGGCAGGGACGGTAATATTATATATATATATATATATATATATATATATATATATTACGTTGAGAACGAGAGAATAGAGATGGAGGCAGGGGAGGCTAAAATGATTTGCCCTAAAAATATTATATATATATATTACGTACGTTTTTTTTTATTTTTTTATTATTATTATTTTTTATTTACATACTTAAATTTATAAATTTTTCTATTTAAAGAGTATAATAGTAAATTTACTAAAATACTTCCCTTTCATTTCTTTTCCTGAATATAACCATTATCATCTCTTTTCTTTTTCTTCGTTAACTAACCAAACACGACAGGAAATTAAAATTACCTTTCCCTTTCTTTCTCTTTACTTCATAACTAACTAATGTTATCTTTCCCATTCAAACTCACTTTTCCTGAATATAACCATTATCATTTCTTTTCTTTTTATTCGTTAACTAACCAAACACGACAGGAAATTAAAATTACCTTTCCCTTTCTTTCTCTTTACTTCATAACTAACTAATGTTATCTTTCCCATTCAAACTCACCGTATCAAACATAGCCTTAGGGTCAGGTTGAGAGGAAAAGAGAGGTGATGGTGGAATTACTAAGTTGTCCTTCAAAAGGAGCATCAGAAATGATTGAGATCATTGCATGAGTGATAGAAGATGAACAATTTGTTCTATTTTAATAAAATGCCTCTTTTATGAAGAAAAGGAAATATTGGACAAGTACAAGAAATAGGGATGGAGAAGGTCCCTAACAAAGTGAAAAAGAAAACAATCCAAATAAAAAAATAAAAAAAAATGAGATGACTATCCCATCCATATGAAAAAATGGATGCAGGGAAACAGAGGGGGATGGATGAAGCTCTTGGGGAAGGGTAGGTTTGGACGGAAAGAATAGTTGAAATGATTAATGGAATAAAACCATTATTTTGTTTGGTTTGAGAAAGAGGAGAGTTTATATATATATATATATATATATATATTACCAATATACCATCATTATTTAATATTATATATAAAAAAAATGATTGTTTTATTTTGGAAAGGTCAAACTTGGTATTTTATACATTTTAGGTATTTATTCACTATTTCCCTCCTCTCTTTACTGATAAGAAAACTAAGGAGCTTGCTTCATCTCTTCTTATTTTGACTATATCCCATACATATGGGATTAAGACAACTTAGGCAAGGACGATGAAGATACTATTATTTTGACTATAGTTTGTAGCACAATTGCATCGTGGAAAGCCACTTTAATCAATAAAAAATAACACTAATGGTCTCCCCAGAAAAATTACAGAAACAAACTAGTTCAGGATGCTAAAGTGGTTGCTTCACAACCATCATGTACACAGGCTAAGACATCTCTGTAGTCCCTTGAGATAGTGAAGGTATCATAGACTTTTCCATTGCTGCTCTTCTTGTACTCGAAGAGAAGAGATGAGTGGTTAAATGCCGTCAACTTGACAAATCCGTAGTCGTAATCTTTGTAAAGACTCCAACTGGTATTAACTTGGATGAACTCTGATAACTGGCTTCCTCCTCCACCAACAACAACGTGGATTGTCCCATTCACAGTGCCCGAGTAGTGTGATGTTTCTGAATTCACACACTGATTCTGCGCAAAGTAGATCAGATAGATGGCAAATAAGTGACCATTTACTTGAAAGTTGAAACTCACTATGGCAAACTAAATATATTGTGATTGATATTCGTTTAAACTATAATTTTATTTCGCGCATAAACTATATGTTTTCTCTGCCTCTAGCAGTAAATAACTCTTGTACATGAACATGGAGTTCATATCCTAGGCAGTATTCTGGTTTTAAGTTAGTTACCATTCTGAAGCATGTGAGGAGCACAGTATTAGAGTATGCTCGCCGTTCCTTTTTCTTTTTCCCCTCCAAAGAATTAGTTACTTGTTAGAAAAGGAATACTGATTTCTTATGCCGAAGTAAAACATACAAAAAGAATACTGATGATTCTGTGGGACTTTCACAAGAGTTTGTAAATAGGTGGGGTAGAGACAGATGTGTCAGAACTGAAGTTTTTGCCCCAGCCATTTTCAGCATTTTATGTAATTTATTCTCTTTAAATTTTCTACAGTTAGTGTTTTTGACAACCATAAAAAATGTTGTTTGGCTGCTGGGTTCTGGATAAAAAAATCCACATTATCTTCGTTCCTACCATAAAGGGTCTTATAGCATGCAAGAGTCTGGAAGTTAAACCGATATTAAGATAGTTCATGGTGCTGAAAATAGTGTACTAAAGTTTATCTAATAGAGGGGGTAGGGGGTAGGGGGTGTTTTGTACCTGGTAAATAGGACAAGACCTTTCGTAGTTATGGACGTGACCATAAAATGCCATGTCCACCTTGTATTTCTGCCAGAGTCTCTGTAAGCTTTCCCTTCCCATGGGCTCTTCAAATGAGCCCTCCAGTCCATACCATTTATTAGAAGAATACCCAAGGACCCGATGAGCAGCAAAAATCAACCAAGGCTGTTTCTGCCTGTCTGCTGATGCAAGGCAATTCTCAATAAATATGTACTGTTCAGAACCCTCCCTCCAATCGTGCTCAGTATCTGCTATGCAGAAGCGAAACATGCCATAATCTGTTGAGTACCTGTGGATAACATATATACATAATTTAGACAACATTTTTTATATGGACTATTTTATTTAAATTACAATTTATTCTAGACAAAATATTACAGTAACATAATTTTTTTAGTGGAATAGATTATGGAACTTTGGTGATGCTATATTGGTTTTTCAAGTAAGTTGAATCTTTCCTCGAGGAAAAATCGGAATGGGGAGATTTCTCAAATTTATCTTTATATCTTTATATTGTCACCAAGTTGGGGACCTGTAATTGTGATGTGGATTTACACGTGTACAATATGGCAAGCTTTAATGAACTCAAAGTCCCAATCCAGATATTCTAGGGATACTAAACTTGAGTCAACTAAGCCTTATTCCAACTAGGTAGCCCAGTCCCTACAGTACTACCCAGGTGAACATTACTGCGTTGAGAGAGCTTATTGGATCAATTGTCTTGCGTCACATGCATTCAGAAATAATTCGGTTTTTGGTATATGTTACTTTAAGCAAGGATTCATAGGACAATGTATGGCTTTTGCAAAAGCATAGAAAAATAGAATGAGAAAAAGTATGGAAGGGAAAGGGCCCCATTCGAGGGGGCGGAAGTCCCCTGTAGGTTCAATTTGAGAAGAACCAGACCTCCCAAAGAGCAAAATCACTATTACTCAATGCTTCCTTTTGTTAAAAGCAACACGGCATCCGCATATATAAACATATAACAGCTGAAATAACATCCCAAAACTGCTAATAACTACCTAATCTCCTTTTGTCCTAATTAATTAATGAATATTTTCTAAATAAAAAAGGAGTAATACTAAAATATACACACAACATTCCTGTCCTTTTGGAATGACCTAGTCAAGATCAACAGAAAAAAAAAATACTAATCCACTGGATTCCAAAGCTGGATAGGCACAGTGTATCAACCAAATCATCACCAGGCAAGTTTTGTAGCGTCCTTGTCTTCAAAGTTTAGTTGTTGACATTTTACAAGCACCAATTCCAGAACAATTCGGAACCAATAATGGAATAAAGTAGGACTTCTTGTAAGACTTCTTAAACTAATGAAAACACCGAAAGGATACAGGCAACTAGCACGATCAGATAGCTGTGGTGTCACGAGAATCCCGTCTTCCAAAAGGAAGAAAGACATCGATGGATTATCGTTTCATAGAGATAAAGAAGATAAGCAGAAAGATTGTTTTTCCTATGGAAGTTCAACAAAACAACCTGCCCATAGTTATCCCACAGCATTAGGTTAAAGGTAATAAATTATTCTTTTTTTGTTTATCAGGATTAAAGGTAATATCGCTAAAGGTAGAATACAATTATCAAACTTGCTTAAGCTATGGAGAAGTGTTAAAACCAAAGAGAAGTGTCCAAATGATAATCTAGTCTAATTACCAAAATCAACTTCCAATAAGAAAAGGAAGAGTTAATTGGAAGTTTCTTGAGCCATTTTCTTAGTTTTGTCTAGTTTTAGATTCTATATGTTTTGCACTACCTTTACTTACTCTACTCGTACAATTACTTCAAAATCTTTACAGGAACTGACTGCATTGCTGGCAAAAAACTTAATACTTCCTCTCTCCAAAAATTGTAACATAAAAGAATCAATTCATAACTAATATAATTACCAGAACTTAGCTCTGTTCTCCGCAGGAACATAGAACATGGTCTCAGCTAGCACACCACATTCCCCACCTGAATCCATAGTGTCATAGAAGGATCCTGTCCCAGGCCAATCACGCTCATGATTGCCACTGTAGTTAAAAGTAAAACAAAGAGATCACACAACCTCATGAGACATAACATTTATAAAACAATTAGAATAAATTGTTAACTAGTAACTAACCTTGCGATCATATATGGTACAGTTGAAGCAATGGGCTCCACCTGTGATGTGAATTGGTCCCACTGCGAGATGTATCCATTTGCATACGTTATATCTCCTATGTGGAAAACTATGTCAATGTTCTTTAGGTCCTTGATGAGTTGGTCCGTTGTATTAAGCGAACCTGGCTGATAATTACTATACTCATTTGAACCATCACGTTCTGCCTGAAAAATGCAGGTAAGAAATGTAAATCTCTTTGTTTAATGTAAGTGCACAATAATATATACCTACAGGAATTGTCATTACAAGAAAATTCACTGTATGCCTAGCATGGGTTCCTTTACCCTAGATAAACATGTCATTTTGCGCTATCAGATTGTAAAATTTGATATGATGGGATAGACCAAAATCATCCTACCACCACCAAGCGAAGAAAGAGAATAGTTCATGATATTTTTGCATAAGCTTCCTCAAACAAAAGTTAAAAGTGACCAAGTTTTTAGTTATACATAGGGATGCTAACACACACTCTTAACTGAAAGAGAATATAAGGAAACGGATGGTTGATGATAAGGGCAATAATTGTGGGATACACAAGGTAACATAGAGATGTAAAGCCACCATTGATTTGATCTCAAAAACAAGATATCCTAACTAAAAACCATAATTCAAACCTTTCTGTCTGCCTGTTTCAGGTATGAGCACAATACCCTGTGCTATTAGCCAGAGTATTAGTTTAGGCAAAAATAGAGCAGCACATGACAAGTCAGGAATAGTTGAAACCGATCATGTCAAGAGGCATAAAATATTCTGCAGGTGGATGCATTCATCAGTGACATGCAGACCTCAACACCTCTGTGCTTATATCCCTCTGATTAGCTAAGCTACAAGTATATGCCCTAATGATGTCCTTGGTGGTCTGGCACTCTATCCTTTTCTTCTTTTTATTTTCTGTTCTTATTGATTTATTTATTTGAGAGAAGAGGGAGGCATATAGTATAGATATTCAAAAGTAAATTTTATATAGTCAACATTACCTTCCCCATGTCGCCAAATATTATAACACGCTGTAATGTGTCCTGTCCAGGATAAGGGGATGATTTGAATGAATACATCTTGCTCCAGATATATGAATTATTGGGTAATCGATGACCCATCTTGTAAGTGTACCTAAAAGAATTATCATCACAACCTTACAAAATAAAACACTGATGCTTCTCAGCAACTTCTATGATGGACGAAAAAGCCTTTTTCAGATACTTACATGGAGTTTGGCCATAGATCCTTTAAGAAACTGGTATGTATGAAACCAGGATCACGCCAACCAACTGTCCGCGCAGGTGAACCTGCAGGACAACAAAGGAGCTTCATAATGCTAAATCTTGTGTGCTTCTAAGTGGTGAGAGTAAATTTTCAATCTATGGTGAGAACTTGGAAGATCACATATGATCAGTTTGGGAATGAAAAGCAAGTACCTGACTGGTAAGGAATTAAGCTGACCAACAAAATCATGACACTGATTTTACAAAATGGAGCTTTCTAAGAAGGATTCGGGCTTTACCAAGCTATGGTGAAGCCTAACATAATGTAAAGTGGCTTAAGCATTCAAAGGAAATTATAGGAAGAATCCTATAACTTATCGGATCAACACACGATAAAATAATAATGTAACACCATTAGATGGGGATGCAGGACAAGGCACTACTTTTTAGATATCAACTTTATGATGGAAAATCTTATACTATGTGATATGAGATATTAACTATAGACACAATGAGAAAAAGCTCAAAGTAAAAACTGAGTACAATGGTAAGTTATAGAGCACAGAGAGAGAGAGAGAGAGAGAGATGGAATAAAAAATTTGTAAGTCATAGAGCACACACGATGATGTATTTATATGGCAATTTCCAGTTATAAACACATAGTCAAACCTTAACAATGAATTATCAAAGCAAATTCGGTGACCAATTAGTACTTTCTAAAGCATGCAATTTGATTAGATGAAGAATGGTATATGATAATAGAGAGGCTATAGTAAGCATAATATCATTGCGATAATATAGCCAATGAAGTGTGTCCTACCACACATGGTGTTTTGAGAAAATGTCAATGTTCCAGCTGGTGAGCGCATTTGAATATCTCCCTTCAAACCCCACTCAACAAAAGGAATGGCTTCATCTATGTTATAGCCACTCGTCCAGGTTACTGTCATCTGCACAACAATATATATATATATATATACATACACACACACATAATATATCAGTAAGAATTGTGATTGTATGTACAACGTAAAACATCATACCAGTACTTTTGATTTTGCAATTCTAGGATGCTCACTTAATTAAAAAGAAAAAGATTAAGAGAAAGAAAGAAAGAAAGAAATGCCATCAAGTATACAGACAATTGAACACTAGAAGTATCAAAAAATAACTTAAAAGACATGAATTAAATAGAGATTCCAGAGATGATATTATCCTCAGAGAAACACCATTAGCATCTTAATGTTGAAACCATAAGCATATTACCTTGGTTAATAAGAATGGAGAAATACCTAATTTCTTATTCCATAGTAAAAGTAAAAGGACAAAAAGAGTGACAGTAAGGATACATGAATTGTTCAAATGGGCATGACAAACATGTGGTTTTTCCCTTGGGACACTTCATGATTTAAGTAACATAAAGCTTTAAAAGATAATAATAATAAATTGAAAAAATAAATGAATTCAACATTGATAAATATATTGGTTCAAGCCTAGCAAGCTAGCAAGTCATCACGATGTCCATGACGAAGAACTCACAGCATGCAAAAACATTAGTTGAGAAACTTACTTCATCCCAAGATTTCCCTTGCGCAAGACGTGGATAAAGGGGTGCTTTAGGATTTGCAAATGATATATAATTTGAAACTGCCACCAATTTTGGCTGTAATTAAGAAGTATGTATTAGTCCATGTGACAGCGTAACCGGGGAAAAAAATGATAAATTAAGACATTAAGACGTGCAGTAAGATTACACACTTAAATATGTCTATGATGGGAAGAATATAATGAATCAACAAATTCACTTCAAATAAAATTTAGAAATTATCAGCAGAAGAACAACAAAATGAACCATTTAACACACATTGGACAAACCGCCTGAAAATAATCCAAACGAGAAATCTGCCCGTTGATTGATCAACTGGAAATCCAGAGAACCTTTGCCAGTCTTCATATAATTTGAGTTGGAGTAATTAGCATACTTGTACTGTGATAAAAGCATTCAAAAAGATGAAACTTTATTTAGAGAAGATCAATCTAAATGAACTTCAAAATTTACTTGAACTTAGCATCACAATTTGAATTAACTACCTTAATTGGGGCTGAGCATATATATGGAGTCTGTTCTTTTGGGTCGTTCTCTACATAACAATTTGATGAGCTGACACATCAAAAAACTTCCTTTAGTTTCTGAAACTATGAAACATTAACAAGTTACAGCATGTACAGTTATCCAAGGGAATGAATTTGATCCTAGAACTGTAGTAGAGTGAAAATTCTGTAGGGTGAAAGGATCCGAGAAACAGTGAGGGAAGAAAAGAAAAGATTCATTGCACAAGGTTACTGAACAAATGGTGCTCCTTTCGATCATATACTAAGCATGAAAAAAACAGCAAGGAAGATCAAAAGAGTAGAAAGATGAACACTACTTGAACTTTGCAGGAGAGAAAACTCCAACCCAATCATTCTCAGATGGATGTGGGTACTCAAGATCCACACGAACCAATTCAGTATCCTCACCCTGTCATTGTATGAGTCAAAATAAGCATTACTAATCCAAATCCTCCAAATAGCCAAAATTTTGTACCTGAATCTCAAAGTACTTGATCAAAATTTTAAATAGAAACTGTTCAAGTTACAAGAGTAGACATATAAAAAGAAAAATATTTAGTGTTAACTAACAAACAATCAAATATGTCCGGAATTGGACGGACAATGCCATCCATGGCGCTGGTATCTACCATTAAATATGTAGTTTATTTAAATAAATAAAAAATAGCAAATCCTCTAAATTCTCATTCCTTCTCCACAACTTTCTCTTTCCTTTTTATCGCTATATTAAGTGAAAATCTTCTTCTTTTTCTAAAGGTAAGGCGCACTCAGACAACCTTTTTCGTCCCAATTGGTGCTTGAATCCTCAAACTCCTATTTGAAAAGCGAAGGAGATACTCAAGATAATGTTTGGTGGAATATTGAATGAGAAATAAAACATCAAAGTAACATAAAAACCCAATTTTCCAACTAAGAAATTTACAGACTTGCTTATATTATCTGATTAGATTACCAATAATCAAGATAATCCAAATGAGATCATAATCAAGATTTTCAGCATAGCTCCAGCAATCTCAAGTGAAAAACAGCAAAATTCCAAAGAAGAAAGTCATATATACCAAAAAAATAATAATAATAATAACCAGCAAAATTCCAAAGAATATACTACTAAATAAATAAAAAAAATAAAAAAAAAAAATTCCAAAGAATAAATTATACACTATTTAAAAAAATATGAAGAAAAAAAAAATGTAAAATATCAAACATGTGAAGTGCAAAAACTTAAGAATGAAGTTGAACTTCTTGTTACCTTCAAGCCAAGCAGAACAGGGAAGGCTTTAATGGAGGCGGAGTTGTGGAGAGCAAGAGTGGTTTTCTCTATTGCAATTTGGGACAATGGTTGTATTCCGATTGAACCCACATGACCCAAAGAAGAATCGAATTCGAAAAAGATGAGCATTAACAGCAAAACCCACAAAATCTTGGGATTGCTCATCTTCTTTTCCTGAGCTTTCGATTCACAGTGACGACTGTGAAATCGAGAGCTTAGTGAGTCTTGTATTGGTATGGAAACAGAGTGCGGACGCTCTGAGATAATAAGCGTTGAAGTCGCAAAGATTCCCAGAATGATTCGAGTTTGACTTCTGAATGATATCTTAAGTATTTGAAATTGTGTATATATAGTAATATAATGTATCACGTTTATATATAAATACAGTTCGAATCGGCGGAGGATCGGAGAAAAAGAATATCATGGAAGTCGGTTCGACTATATGTGGGACAATTTTCATCACTCAATCCTAACCAGTTTCAGTGTAACACCACCATTTTTTTTCTATTATTATCAAATTAGAAACGAAATGACATATTAAGAACGTATTTATTAATAATCAAAATAAAATACATTCTCACCGACAAGAATTATATTTTGTTCTTTGAGAATAATAAAAATACAGTGTCCAGTTGAAAATATAAAAAGTGACTGAATTTGTCCTAGTTAATTTTTAAGTTCAAGATAAACAAATACTAACCATTAACCTCTAATTTTAAACATTGTCTAATGAGAATTTTATTAGAGTAGGAACAAAGCCCAAATAAATTTGGGATAACTAAAAAACAAAATATAAACTGTTTTGATTAGGGAGTCAGGGAAAAAACGTATTTGCCTCAGTGTAAGTACAAACACTTTATCTAAGAGAGTCATTTAGACAAGTGTTGGAGACAACGTAGATACGTAATTGGACAGGATTAAAAGTTTCCCGAACTCACAGTTAGGACACGACAATGTCATGTTTTTCACACTTTCGGGGAATAGTTTTGTAATTATTTTTTAAATAAAATTGAATACAATGCAATTTAAAATATCTTATTAGTTAATTAGAACAATAACATAAAATTTATAAAAAACAAAAAATAACAAACATCTAGTTTTAAGTTCCAAATTAATGATTTCATTCTATGGATAAAATGGGTAAAAATTATTATTGTTATATATATATATATATATATATATATATATATATATATATATATATATATATTTGACGTTTCCATGCTTTTTTTTTTTTTTTTGAAATTTATCGTATCATCGTGTTCGTATTGTGTCGTATCACGTCCATACTTCCTAATTCACCACTAGTGAAATGAGCGAGTTTGGAGCTTTTTAACAGGACGAATTGAAGGTAAAAACTAAGAGGGGAAAGGAATTCATGTTGATATTACATAATAATAGTTATTATTAATTTTTTCAGAATATTGCAAAATTATTTAAAAATTCCTATGATTGATTTGGAAAATCATATTAGTATATTGGCTTGGACAATTGTTTTGGATTGGGCTTTGATCCAAAGTTTCATGCCATACTCAACCAACCCAACCCTTCAATTTATTATTTATTTATTATTACTTTAAATGCACTTGAACCTACAATAACGTTCCTATCAACACTACAACCCTCAACCTCCCCTTTCGGAAAGAGAGATCAGATAAAGCTGCACCTCTCATACATTACACTAAACTATATTGAGGGAAAAAATAAAAAAAATATATGACAAAAATCACATGCTTTGTATTTAGGACAAAGACTAGGTAGGAGGTGGTGTGATAAAGACACTAATGATGAGATATTGATGTAATAACACAACTATAATCTATAAAGCAGCATAGTCCACATACATTGTATTGACCATAGATAATAGACGATATTGATGTAATAACACAACTATAATCTATAAAGCAGCATAGTCCACATACATTGTATTGACCATAGATAATAGACGATCACACTTTATAGAGGACAATCTTCAAAAGAATTATAAGATTTAGATCATGAAGCCAAAGTGGTAGGTGAACAACCATCAGGTACACAAGCCAAGACATCTCTGTAGTCCGTTGAGACAGTGAAGGAATCATAAACCTTCCCATCACTGCTCTTCTTGTACTCAAAGAGAAGAGATGAGTGATTGAATGCTGTCAGTTTGACAAAACCATAATCATAATCTCTATATAGACTCCACAATGTCTGCACTGGGCTGAACTCTGATAAGTGACTTCCTTCTCCGCTGACAACGACGTGGATTGTCCCGTTGACGGTGCCAGAGTAATGAGATCTTTCTGTATTCACACATTGATTCTGCACCACAATCAGTGATCAGAATGAATGGCCAAGTAGTGTGATCTCGCACAAAAGCTTGTCCGAGGGTGTGGTTGAACTAGTGAAGTTTATGTTTAGTACTATAGTATTTAGTGGAGGGTTGGCCTTGTCACAACAATAATGTTGCTCCATTGTGACCTGGAGGTCTCGGGTTTGAAACCAGAAATAGTTTCTCCGTGCTAAGAAGACTGTGTATATCTGACCCTCCCCAGACCCCATAAAGGGCCCTTTTTTTTTTTTTTTTTTTATGTGATGAAGTAGAATTTAGTGGACTACAAATCTTCCAATTTTTTCTAACCTGGTAAATTGGGCATGTTCTTTCATAGTTGTGGACATGACCGAAAAATGCAATGTCCACCTTGTACTTCTGCCAAAGCTTTTGCAAACTCTCTCTTCCCATGAGCTCCTCAAACGAGCCTTGCAAGGCATAATAGAAATCCGAGGAATACCCGAGGACATGGTGAGCAGCAAAGATCAACCAAGGCTGTTTTTGTCTCTCCACTGATGCGAGGCAGCTTTCGATGAATCTGTACTGCTCGGAACCCTCTCTCCAGTCATGCTCGGTGTCGGCTATGCAGAAGTGGAACATCCCATAATCTGTCGAATACCTGTAGAGAGGACAGTAAAACATGCTTTCAGAGGAAATTCTGTATATATAAAAAATAATAGTGTAACATAATGTGGATATTAATTCCATGAATCGGCCTAAAGGAAACGCTGGGCATGACATGATCTATACACCATATACCTTATGAAACTTGAAATTAGTCACCTGAATATTAATAGAACTTCAATTGTATAATTCAAAAAACTTCAAACCAAGCTCAAAAAATATTAAATCAATCTCATGTCACATAGAAAACCATTCCCAGTGCTTGGTCTGCCTACACGTACCGGGAAGGAAAGTAAGCACTGGCTGCTCTCAGGCTCAAAGTCGTATCCTCATATGCTTGTTAACCGTGCTTTTACCATTGCGCCAAACAATGGTCTTTCATATTCACACTTGAGAATTAAATTTCGGTTGTATAATTCTGAAACTTCAAACCAAACTCAGTTTTTAAATGTGTATCTAATCATTGAAAATGCCATTACTAGTGTTGGTCCTGCCTAACACAAGGTACTAGGAGTTTAGAGACAATATTTAATATTTGTCATCGACTATTCTCAAGCTCGATCCCACACCGTCACGCTTGGAGCTTTTACCATTGCACCAAGCAGCCTTTAGTCTTCACACTTCCATTTCAATGACCAGGAAACTTACTGGTTTTATTGCTAGTACCTTTCTTATTTCAGTGAATCAAAAAGTCACATTAAATTCTATTGTACAATCTTGGACAGTAAATTCACCCTCTTAGTGACCAACATGAACTGATATAATAATTCCATAGAAATTAATTGAACTTACCAAAACTTGGCTCTGTTCTCAGCAGGGACATAAAACATTGTCTCAGCTAGCACACCGCATTCACCACCTGCATCATTAGTGTCATAAAAAAACCCTGTCCCGGGAGTGTCGCGTTCATGGTTCCCACTAAAGTAAGAAATTGAATCACGGAAGTTTTAGTGAGTTAGATGCATATATAACTGAATATATGTGGCAGCAAGCACATAGCATATTGGCATGGCAACCTTGCAATCATATATGGCACAGTTGATGCAATCGGCTCCACTTGTGATGCGAACTGGTCCCACTGTGAGAGGTATCTATTTGCATATGTGATATCTCCTATATGGAAAACTATGTCGATGTTATCCAAGTCCCGGATCAGTTGATCTGTGGTGTTTAGTGAGCCAGGTTGATAATTATTGTATTCGTTTGAACCATCACGCTCTGCCTGAAAAAAAAAAAATACATATCTACTCCGCTATAGATGAAAAAAAAACCTGTGTTTCATGAACTCTTCTATATTCCCCAACACGTATATATGTCAAACTGACATGGCATGAGTGACCGGTATAGAATATGCGTTTGACACATTAACTCAAATCCGTGACCTTAATTCTCTACGTGTGATGATGGAAGAAGAAAAGGCTTAATTTGATAACAAAAAAGGCTTTCCTATTCTTGAAATATAATCCTCCTTTCAACCACATCCCTTTAAATTAAATTTTCATTGAGTATGCATGATGCATATAATGTAGTTATATCTGCATGATGCATCTATGAACTCATGCTTAACTTAACTTTTGGACATATTTAAAGCCAAGTATCCCATGTCCTAAAATTTGGGATTTAGGGAGGTCTGAATCATACAGATGGATATCTTATCCTTAGGTTTATTATACCCACACGATACACTTATCTGAGTCCATAAAGATATAGGTTTTGAACTTCTGATTCTTGTTGATTTTGTAGTTTGCACACAGAGAGAGAGAACGAGAATAGAGATGGAGGCGATTTGGGAGACTGATTTGCCCTAATATATATATATATATATATATATATATATATATATATAATAATAATAATAGTATAATCAAATATATATATATATATATATATATAAAATATGAATTTCCAAAAAAGAAAAAAAAAATTATATAATAATATAATCAAATATATAAATTTTTACATATCATAAATTGTGATCAAGAATGGGATTACCAAGAATATCAACTAGTGGTCCTGATGTGCCAAATGTTGCACCATTATGAATTTTATGATTCATGTATTTGTGTGTTCATATTTCTATGTATTTTTGTATGCATGATTATTATAGTATTTATGTAATGAACAATATGCCTACTTTTCTGTCTAACTTATGTTTATCCCAGATTCAATTATGGGTCGTCCAAAAGTCGCGTTGGAATGTTTAGCCCACTTTTTGCATTAAATTGCTGCACAGGGTGTTGTTTCCAGTAAATCGTTGACAGACGAGTAATAGAATCTCTCTTAAGCAGAATGACCACAGAATAGTAACTTACTGTTTATTATATAATATTATAATATTTATGCTATGCAGACCACAAAGCATTAACAATATTTCACAGGCATGTTGAAACCATCTTCCTCCTCTTTAGGAGTACAGGAAAACCAGGATTCAGAATTGGTAAAAAATGCTGAATTAGTGGAATTGACCAATGTTCAAAATAAATTGAATAAATGGACTATCCCTCCAGTAAGTGCTAAGAGCATTTACAAAATCGGAATGTTTAATGTAGCTGATCTATGGACTGTCAAGACCATGGAACAGACTATGCAATTAAGCACGAAAGACACAATAATTAAATTACTGTCTTCTCGTAACCTTCAAAGGCACATGCACAAATACAAGTACATCCATATAGGTTTAATTCAAATTGCTTTTAAACCTTTAACCTTGCTAGGTATGGATGCTTGTATCCAAGCAACCCTTCGGGATGCTCGATGTCTGAAATTTCACCGTTCTTTAATGGGTGCTTTGGAAACCAGTCTATGCCATGGACCGGTATATTTTAATGTCTATCCTAGTCTGAATTTATCTTTAACAGATAAAAACATACATGAGGCAGTTAGTCTTCGTATTCAGACCTATGGGTATGATTATTTACCTGGATCAGAAGTGATAAGTGTTATTTATCGCATCCATAACAAAGTACTGGATACTCTGTGTCCAAATGCCATACGCAAAGACTCTAAAGGAGTAACAGCGTTATGGGATACCAATATGTTCACATCAAATGTTGCCACAAAAAGGATGATTCCTTGGAGTGAAATAACATTTCCTGAACATTGGACAATTTCTAATGCAGTTCCGGCAAAGCCAATTGCTAACCATAGCTTGGATTGTGTTATTCAGGACCAGGATGGTGATGTTTTTCTGAATTTCAGAAAATCATTAGATCTACCCAGATCTACATCATCTAAAGGAAGTCATCTTCCTTATCATGTTTCTTGTCCTCCTTCTCGCCATTCGATCTCTTCGGATTACAGAAAGGAAGAGCTCTCTCCTGAAATCGTTGGTTCAAATCACCTCAAGTTGAAAGGAATACAGCAATCTCAGAATCACATTCCAAGAGGAGTATACGAGAAAGCACCCATAGGTATGTCTCGTCGCCAATTTGGAATTGAATTCAGCCCAACCCCATCCGAAATGGGAATCGGAAATGAATCTGTCAAGGATCAATTTGACGATCCTACAGACATAAATGACCCTCATGAATATTAGTTTTAATGGATTTTGTCCCAGATAGAATTGCCATTAATACTGAATTTCAACAGGATCAATATAAAGAATTCAGAAATTTGTATTTTAAAGCTTTTGACCAAAATCAATTACAGCTTTTTAAAACTCAATTTTATAACTTTCTACAAGAACGCAAAATGGTTATACCTTTTGTTTCTTGGTTTTTTATGACCAATCATTCTCTTGTTAATATAAACATATTGGATGATTTTCTCAAACCATGGACTACATCTGAAGATAAGGTTTATCACTCTGTCCATCCTCCCACTGACCATCTAATTCTGAAAAGGATTGACCCTGACAGTGGTGCAAAAGTGGAAGCCAAGGCTTATAGCCAACCTAAAATAATTGATCCATCCTGTAATGCTACTAAGAAAGACATTTCTCATGTTTACAGGCAGAACAATTATACTAATGTTTGTATGCAAACGATAGGGTCCCAGCTTGAGAGAATTGAAACAGGAATAGACAAGGTATTAAATACAATTAATACTAAGTGTATTACTATTAAACCCTCTCCTCCAGAAGATTCCTTATCCAAAGCATTGGTCAAACCTGCAATTGAAGTTAAAGGCTTCAATCTAACACATCCTAAGAAGAATGAAGAATTTCTTACTCTTCTTACTCAGAAAATTCAAGGACTTAAAATTCAGACTTTATCCCATGATGAATTTGAAATCAGTTCTGATTCTGATGTGTTACCTCATATTGAGGCTTTTCAAACTGATTTCACTCAGATGCCTGAGTTGAACAGAATTGTCTATGATAAGAATATTCACTCCAATACAGCACCTGCTCCGAGTAGATATTATTATCCCAGACCCACACCTCAAGATATCTTGTATGAAGAAGATTATTTTCATACACAGAAATCTTTTCATGGTAAGACCGTTTATGAATGGAACATAGATGGGAAATCTGATTATCAGATATATGAGGTTATTCATCAAATGTTGATGTATAGCCAAGTCTGTAAATTAAACCACAACACTGACCCAACCATTGCTAAATTTGTCGTTGCTGGTTTTACAGGAATCCTTAAAGGATGGTGGGATAATGTTCTCACTGACATTCAGAAAGCTAAAATCTTTTCTACTACCAAGATTACTCCTTTAGAGTCTTTGCGTATGGCATTTGGACACAGAGTATCAAGTACTTTGTAATGGATGCGATAAATAACACTTATCACTTCTGATCCAGGTAAATAATCATACCCATAGGTCTGAACACTAAGACTAACTGCCTCATGTATGTTTTTATCTGTTAAAGATAAATTCAGACTAGGATAGACATTAAAATAAACCGGTCCATGGCATAGACTGGTTTCCAAAGCACCCATTAAAGAAGGGTGAAATTTCAGACATCGAGCATCCCGAAGGGTTGCTTGGATACAAGCATCCATACCTAGCAAGGTTAAAGGTTTAAAAGCAATTTGAATTAAACCTGTATGGATGTACTTGTATTTGTGCATGTGCCTTTGAAGGTCACGAGAAGACAGTAATTTAATTATTGTGTCTTTCGTGCTTAATTGCATAGTCTGTTCCATGGTCTTGACAGTTCATAGATCAGCTACATTAAACATTCCGATTTTGTAAATGCTCTTAGCACTTACTGGAGGGATAGTCCATTTATTTTGAACATTGGACAATTTCTAATGCAGTTCCGGCAAAGCCAATTGCTAACCATAGCTTGGATTGTGTTATTAAGGACCAGGATGGTGATGTTTTTCTGAATTTCATAAAATCATTAGATCTACCCAGATCTACATCATCTAAAGGAAGTCATCTTCCTTATCATGTTTCTTGTCCTCCTTCTCGCCATTCGATCTCTTCGGATTACAGAAAGGAAGATCTCTCTCCTGAAATTGTTGGTTCAAATCACCTCAAGCTGAAAGGAATACAACAATCTCATAATCACATTCCAAGAGGAGTATACGAGAAAGCACCCATAGGTATGTCTCGTCGCCAATTTGGAATTGAATTCAGCCCAACCCTATCCGAAATGGGAATCGGAAATGAATCTGTCAAGGATCAATTTGACGATCCTACAGACATAAATGACCCTCATGAATATTAGTTTTAATGGATTTTATCTCAGATAGATTTTCCATTAAAACAGAATTTCAACAGGATCAATATAAAGAATTCAGAAATTGGTATTTTAAAGCTTTTGGCCAAAATCAATTACAGCTTTTTAAAACTCAATTTTATGACTTTCTACAAGAACGCAAAATGGTTATACCTTTTGTTTCTTGGTTTTTTATGACCAATCATTCTCTTGTTAATATAAACATATTGGATGATTTTCTCAAACCATGGACTACATCTGAAGATAAGGTTTATCACTCTGTCCATCCTCCCACTGACCATCTAATTCTGAAAAGGATTGACCCTG